CAAAGCCGGTATAATGAAGAGGCAAATAAGAAGCTGATGGAAGCTCTTGAGTCTCCATTGGAAGAGCCACAGATGTGATTTTCAAGCAACAACACTTGCTCTACAATGTTTGCCAAACTCACAGCTGTCGAGTGGGCTAGTAGATGGTGTGTATGTGTAGCGTGTCCTGTTTGTCTTACTGGTGTTACAAAGAGTAAGCACTCAGTTATTTTTTTCATGTGACCTCATTTATGTGGCTGGCTGTTTTCTAAGTCAATGCATTTCTGTTAATGTATTCCAGATGGATGTAGCTCATTACCCTTAAGCTTATTTTAGTCACAGTGCAAGGATTGGGGGAGATAGGCATCTGTTAAACAAGTGAATTTAAACCTATAAAACCTCCCCCAACCCGTGTGTGTAATTGATTTCAGATCATAAAAATTATTAGGTAGAGGGCTCAGTGGTAGAGCACTTACCTAGCATGTTTTGCATACTAACTGTCCCAGGGCTCAATCCCCAGTAACTTAAAAAAAAAGAGGATTGTTTGAGAATTGAGCATGAAAAGTAATTCTTGAGAAAAATTTTGTTAGCCTTAAATGTACATTTGAATGACTTTTATATCCTTTTTTCATGTAAAATTAGTTTAAGAATCTTTAAGACTCTTCTTGATGTTGATTAACTTTTATGTTGTCGGGAGCTGGAGTCCTTCAGGCCACAGTTTTCTGCTGAAAGGACAGTTGAGTTGGTATTTAAGGCAGTTTTGATAGTTTCTGCAGACACTGAAAAGGCCAAGTGACTGGGGTCACGCTTATCTGTAGTAATTTCCAGTGGAGTCTTCCTTGTGGTGTCTTGCCCCTCACTTCCCTGCCAGCTCACATTAACAGATGATCCTTAATTGCCAAACGTGTTAAGAGTTTATACCTCCTATTCCTGGGCCTTCTATACCCCCTGCTGGGGCTCAAGATCTGGGTAATGAGTAGGAGCTGAAAGTCTTCCAGATTCAGTTAAGAATTAATGAATAGAGCTAGTGAGGTAGTAGACAAGCTAGCCTCAGTTACGTGAGAGGCTGAGGTCGGGATCGCTTGAGCCCAGCCTGGGCAGCACAGTGAAACCCTGTCTCAGAAAGCATTCCTGTAGATCATCTTGATTTTGTCTCACAGTTTTCTTATTGTAAATACCTTGTTTCTCATCATAAATTGTTATTCTAACATATTTTGTTAAACGTGTATCAACCAAATTAAAAAGACTTTCGTGTTAATATCTTCATGGTTGCTTTTATAAATAATTGCATTATAGTCAGACTTGTGTCATTGTGACGTATTATCTGAGGAGATAGTTTAGGAAAGTCTTGTTTTGGCTCATGGGTTGGGAAGTTTCAGTGGCTTGTAGTCCCGTGGCAAGGAGGAAGGGTGTGGCAGAGGAACACTGCTCATCTCGTGACATCTAGGAGAAAGAAAAGGAAAGACCTGGGCTGAGGTACATACCCAAGAACGAACCTTCCGCCAAGTGTGCACCACCTCCCAATAGTATATTCAGTTTTTAGTCTGCTATGGCTTGCTGGAGCAGAGCCTTCATGATGCACCCCTGAAAATGCCCTCAAGTACACTAGGTGTGCTTCACTAATGCTGAGAGCATCTCCATCCACTCAAGTCAGCAAGATTAACTACAGAATTTCCATCTTAAGATACTGGTTTCTTGTGTTGAGTGGCACATTCTAAGCCATCTTTTCCCTTAGTTCTAAATTAGGAGCCAGTGTCTGAGCGCTCTGTTGGAAATCTCTCATGCGCACTAGTGTATTAAAGGTTGTGTGATTTCAGTGGTTGGTTGCCAAATCTTAGCTGCCTCATCTTTAGTGTTGTGTGGGGCGGTGGTGATGTCTGCTGCACAGCTGGGATTGACAGGTTTAGCTCTTTGGGTTCCAAGCCTTAATTAACCCTGTTTATTTTAAACTAGGGTTTCTCAGCATGTGGGTCGCGACTGGGGTTGCATATTAGATATTTACATTACAATTCATAACAGTAGCAAAATTACAGTTAGGGAATAGCAACGAAATTTATTGTTGGGTTATCTCAATGTGAGGAACTGTTAAAGGGACTCAGCATTAAGAAGGTTGAGAACCATCTTAAATGTAAACTATGGCCTCACCCACTCTGGTTTTAGAGCTTATTGTGTATGATGTAATGGCTGCTTCCTGTACAATAGCGTCTTTTTTTTTTTTAAGATTATTTACTTATCTGTTTGTTTATTTAATGTGCACTGGTGTTTTGTCTGTATATACTGCATGCGAGGGTGTCGTATCCCCTGGAACTGGAGTTATAGAAGGTTGTGAGCTGTCAAGTGGGTGCTGGGAATTGAACCTGGATCCTCTGGAACAGCAGCCATTGTTCTTAACCACTGAGCTGTCTCTTCGGTCCCACAATAGTCTCTTGGTTTTTCAAGACAGAGTTTCTCAGTGTAGCTTTGGCTGTCCTGGAACTCGCTGTAGACCAGGCTAGTCTTGAACTCAGAGATCTGCCTGCCTCTACCTCTTGAGTATTAGGATTAAAGGCATGCACCGACACCACCTGGCCACAATAGCTTCTTAATAATATGACTAGTTTAATTAATTTTTATTTTTTTCATCTGTAAAACTATTTTGTTTGGGCCAGGTAGTAGTGGCGCACACCTTTAATCCCAGCACTAGGAGGCAGAGGCAGGCGGATCTCTGAATTCGAGGTCAGCATGGTCTGTAAGAGCTAGTTCCAGGACAGTCAGAACTACACAGAGAAATCCTGTCTCAAAAAACAAACAAAACAAAACAAAAAATGACGGTTCGGTTTGGTTTTGGTTTTTCGAGACAGGGTTTCTCTATGCAGCTTTGGCTGTGTTGGAACTCAACTCTTTAGGCCAGGCTGGCCTTGAACTCACAGAGATCTTGCCTGCTTTTGCCTCCCAAGGTCTGGGATTAAAGGTGTGAGCCACCACCACCTGGTGTAAGACTATTTCTAATGAGTTTTCAACTCAGTGGTTTCATATAGCACAACAGGTGTAAACAATATCGCCTTATTTCACAATATCCTCGTCTGTGTTGTGGGTTCTTTGGCCTTACGGGTCTAGAGCGTTTCCCACTGCATAGACTGATGGTAATTGCTGATGTGCCTTCAAGTTAATCCCAGTTTGCCTAGGACAAAATAAATTCCAATTCTTACTGTCCTTTTGGGTCTAGTTGCTTCTGTTGACACACCACTCAAGCAGTTCACCCATCTTGAGCTCCTGGTCTGCTTGTATGCTGAGTGGCCTGTGGCTCTGCCAGGAGCAGGAGAGAGATCCAGGCTCGATTTATATGGCTTTTTCAGAAGCATCTATTCCTACTGCAGGGGTCAAGTAGGTTGGGGTCTGGCCAACAAATGGAAAGTGGTCTATATGCCTCAAATGTAAGACAAACACAGGATTAAAAGGCGTGTTTTAAAAGAAGAAACTCAAATTGGTAGTTTTGGAGACAGGATCTCGTAGCTTAAGTTGTAGCTAGGATGGACTTTGAACTTCTGATCCTCCAGTCTCTACCTCCTGCATGTTGAGATTACAGGCATGCAGTACCATGCCCTGTTTTATGGGGTGCTGGGACTTGAACCCAGGGCCGTGTGCATGTTAGGCAAGCACTCTACCAACCAACTCTGGTTATTCAGGTTATTAATGAACAAGGGATGAATTTAGTGACAACTATAATAGTCCTAACTATATCTGTACCTTCAGAATATATAAAGCAATAGCTGATGAATCTTTAAAAAGTTCAAAATTAATTTACAGTTAGAAAATTAATTTACCTCAGAACTTACAATTGTCAGTGCTATATACAAGATTTGACATACATATACAATTATGTCTCTTATTTCTGCAAAACTATCAGAGCCTGGCGGTGGTGGCACATGCCTTTAATCCCAGCCCCTGGGAGGCAGAGACAGGTGGGTCTCTGTGAGTTCGAGGCCAGCCTGGTCTACAGAGTGAGTTCCAGGACAGGCTCCAAAGCTACAGAGAAACCCTGTCTCAAAAAACTCAGAAAGTGCAGGATAGGCACATTTCAAGTACTCATGGGCGTGACTAAAATAATCTGGGCCTGAGAATAAATTAAAACCTTCAAGGATTGAAATGAAACATGGACATCGTTTGCATCAAATGATCGTACACGAATGGCAGAACTCCCTAGGTACAGCTAGAGCTGCGGGTAGAGAAAGGTGATAGGAGAGGGAGGAAGTCATGGCTGTTAAGCATCCCTAAGAAACAGCTGTGCGGTGAGCAGTGAGTGGCTGACAGCCTCGTCTAGGTGACCTGCAGACTGACGGGACGGAACGGTAATGTCTATCCTTGGCCATTAGATGTTGAAAGTATGTGATTTTTTTATTATTTTGATTTTATAGGGGATTACAGTTAGGAGATTGCATGAATCTCAGAAGAAACTTTGGACTTTTAAACACTGTTGAGACTGATAAACTATGGGGACTTTTGAAGTCAGAAAACTATGGGGACTTTTGAAGTCAGACTAAATGCATCTTGCTTTATGATATGGCTACAAGTCCAGGGTGGACAGGGCGTGGCATGGAATGTGGATTGAATAAAAATAGTCCCCATAAGCCCATAGGGGGTGGCACTATTAGGAGGTGTGGCCTTGTTGGAGGAAGTGTGTCAAGCTTCCCTCAGTGTGATCATTTCCTGTTTCCTTCTGATCAAGATGTAGCTAGGATCATGTCTGCCTGCATGCAGCCATGCTGTCTACCATGGTAATAATGGACTGTGCCTCTGAACTGTAAGCGAGCCGCTTCAATTAAATGTCTTCTAAGAGTTGCCATGGTTGCCAGGTGGTAGTAGCACATGCCTTTGATCCCAGCACTTGAGAGGCAGAGACAGGTGGATGTCAAGGCCAACCCGGTCTACAAAGCGAATTCTAGGACAGCCTGTGTCTCAAAAAACAAAACTAAAAAATAATTCAATGAAGGGACAAGCCTTGGTCAGAAGCACACAATCATAAGGAAGAAATGCAAAGAACACTGAGTTATTTTTTCCTTTATTTATAAAGAACACAATTCTGACACAAACAAAAATGCCAACACACTCCAAAGTGTCCATTAACAACAACAGAACAAGAGCAACAACAAAATGGAGAACGGCAGCCCCATCAACAGCCGCCTGTGGCACACGCCGGCACAGGACATCTCACTGAGAACACAAGAAACCACCCTTGGTCTGGAGAGCACGAGCTCCCACAGGCTCGTGACGAATTAGTCTTCAGCATCATCAAACTGTCCTGTTTCAAAGACCATCTTAGAATAATGTGGTATCAGTGGAGGGGGATGGTGCCAGCTGGGATCATACATCATGTCTCCTTGCGGGGCACAGCACACCCAAGGTTTAATCTCTTGAGAAATGCTCCCCTGGATGTCATCAGCATCTGCAGACAGTTTCAAAATACAGGTTAAAGGAAGGAGGGAAATGAAACTGGATTGCACAAGAAGAAAAATGTCTAGAGGGAAGACTTACAATTATTTCAATAACAGTCACACACACACACACACACACCTCCTCTCCTGAAGAAAGGCATTCTGAACTATTCATCTATCCTTTCCTCAATGTTCTCTGAAGCAAAAAGGAAGACAAATGGATCACAGACCACTGCTGTTTGCACAGCTCAGCTTAAAGACTTTCTGAGAGAATTTTCTTATTGAAACAAATCGACACATTGTGGAATTGGTACAATTTGTTTTTAATATAGAAAAGCAGAAATTCCAGACCTGAACCAAAATGAGGCTGAATTCATGTATATGATCCTATTCCCAACATCTGTTTTTAGGGGAAGTGGGAAGGAGGTCTGAGCAGCTGTGGCTCAGCCCCCCCAGACACGCCCTACCTACCATAAGGATTGCCTTGGTCTGCTTTCAGCTCCAAGTCCCAGTCCTCACTAAAGAGATCAGCAGCCTGTTCCATGGGCGGACCTTCTGACAGCTCCCAGGCATACAGTTCCCCATCAGCTTCCTTCTCCTCCACAGCAAAGCCATCCTCTTCCAAATCTGGGCCCTCAGCATGGGCAGGGTTATCATTAGGGATGCTCTGGGCTCCTCTGGCTATGAAATCAACAAAAAGAAGTTTTTTAAAATTGATAAAAGCACAGGAGTTCTGCTCATATGGTTAGACATTTTCTGGTAGCCTTCTTCCAAGAGGGAGTAAAAATCTACACATAGTCTTCAGTTACCAGAGCACTTACACTTACAATTGTGTTTTCAAAATAGGGCTGATCATTTTCTCTCAATAAGATGCTTGTCTTAGACAAGGCCATCGAGTACAGAGGCCTTGTACTGGGGATATTTTCAGGTAGTTTATACGCCAGTGAACCCAAAGGCCTCTGGCAAATGTACTTTTCCGGTCAAGCCTGTGTCGCACTTTCCTCTTCAAAGCTCGTCAGATTGCTAGTACAAAGGGCAGCAGAGAACAGGGCCTGCCAGTCCCCACACTCCTCTTCCGAAACGTGGGGAAGGACGATGGACCTCCAAGGCCAGGCGTCCTGTGGTGATACAGGGCTGAGGGAAGGAGTAACTGGCCTGAAACTGCTGTGGTGTTACAGCTGTCACCATGTCTCATAAACGACACGCGAGGAGCATGGAATCTAGAGACAGAGACCTGAGTTCAGATCTGAACTGCCAAATACTAAATGTGCCACTGGACTGATAGTCAACTGATTCACAATAGCTGACACCTGGAATTACCACAAGCCCCAGCAATTCTTAAACCCAAGAGAACTAAAAACAGTTCAGACAAAGAAAAAAAAAGTCCCCTGCAGCACGGTTCATCGTCACCGTGTCACCAGTCTACACGATTCTGGGACTGGTCACCGGATGAGTGTGGGGGCTGCCACATGAAGAGACCCCGGAAATGTGCCGAGTTGAAAGAGGCCAGACACAAGAGACCATATATTGTATAATTTCATTTACTGTACAAACACATTTGCTCGTTCACACCAGGTAATACTTGGCAGGAGAAAAGCTGATCAGTAGTTAGGGGCTCAGGAACTAGAGAGTGGAGAGTGTTTACTCACAGGTACAGGATTTCCTTTTAGGGTCGGGGAAATATCCTACAACTAGGGGTAACAACTGTACAACAGTCACCGGGCTGAACACCACCGGACCGTACGCTTTAATATAGCGAAATGGTAAATTTATAGTATAAATCTTTTGCCGTATTTTAAGACTTTATTATGTGCCTTAAACAGTAACCAGGCTGTTGTGAGTTTATTTAGGCAAAGAGGAAACACTGGGAGCTGTGTCTGGAATACGGTGTTAGCACCCGCCAGCTGCTACAATTACACCCATCCTGGCTTCACCTGTAGACCAGCACTCCCCATTAGAACTTTCTTCCCGTGTTCACTTAGCATGGTAAAAAGGGGACCGAATTTCTTACTTAGCTATGATTACACAGTGGCTAGTGCGTTATCTTCTCATGCAACCCTAAAACCAACCCTAGGAGGTATCATCAGCCCATCTTGCAGATACAGAAAGGCTAAGTGACTTACCTAAGGATTAAAAAATGTAAGCCCTTCAAGGACTATAACCTGAACCTGAAACCATTTTCTACTTACATACTCTGTGTGCTTTTCAGTGCCTCGAGTTATTTCTCCCAGTGAAATAAGGTGGTCTGAATCCATACAATGTCGAATACTTCCTTGAAGCCTCCAAATGAAGGGTTCACCGAAACACTGGGCAAAGAAGGTAACTCACTGGCAGGGAGGACAGGCTAGCAAGAAAAGGTGCATGAGGCTAAGGGACTATGCTTTTTTTTTTCCTCCATCTCTTCCAACATCCACCCCAGGTCTCTGCTGTCTACTTGCCTAGTCGATCCATGGCCATCTCAGTCTCTGTCTCCTGACCAGAGAGGTCAGCTGCGGCAAAGCCAGCCTGTGGAAGAAGAAATCATTACCAGGAACTTGGGTATCTGGGACATGTCACTACCCGGACGCTCTGAGCCCACTCTCCCGTAGTGCTCTCCACACTGCGGGGTTTGCACCTGCTCCTGAGGACCCAGCAAGGCTAGAGAGGCCGGGCCTGTAGGCATCACCCAGCAAGGCTTCTCCACCTACACCACTGGGAAAGTCTCCTTGCAGTGGCCAGCTGACAGAGGCCAGTTTTGCTCTCTTCTCTTGGCCCTCTTTAGGAGTCTGGGTACCGGGACTTCACACTTAGACACTCTAGAGCCAATCTGGACAGCTCCTGGGTCTCGGGGTTTGTAATTCCAGGTCTGTCTGTAAACCCTTTCCTCTGCCATTTGAGCAGCTCTGCCTCCTTCCTTTTCCTGGCCGGGATTGGTAGCTGTTTCCTGTCCCCGCTACTTCTCTGCAAACCTTTTTTTCAGTTACCTTATATCTAACAACTCCTTCTTACATTGGTGTGTGTATGTATGTATGTATGTATGTATGGTGCCTGCATGTATGTCTGTGTGAGGATGCTGGAAGCCCTGGAACTGGAGTCACAGATAGCTGTGAGCTGTCATGTGGGTGCTGGGAACCAAACCTGGGTATTCCAGAAGAGCAGTCAGCGCTCCCAATTGCTGAGCCACCTCTCCAGCCCCTAATAAATCCTAACAGTGTCTCTCCAGTGGTATGAGGGGACCCAGAGTTTTAGTTTCTAAACAGTGAACGGAATACTTAAATCCCTACTGCCAACCAGGTAATTGTACTCCCCATTACTTCAGAGTGCCCCAAACTTTATTGTCCCCAAGATCCTCTCCAGTGGAACCAGTTATGCCCACAGCTTGATTAGGCCAGATTCTAGCCATGCCATGCACCCAGGGCGTGACCTGGGGTGTTTGTTCTGACCTTGCAGGGGTCCTGTGTTGACATAACATTTATGAAAACACCTAGCACAGCTGGAGATGTGTCTCGGTTGGTAGAGTGTTTGCCTCGTGTGCTCAATGCCCCAGTCTGATTTTCCAGCACTACAGAGAGTCAGGTGTGGTGGCACATACCCTTAATCCCAGCATTTGAGAAGTGGGGGCAGGAGGATCACAAGTTCAAGGTCAGTCTTGGTCACAGAGTGAGCTCCTGGGCTACAGGAGACCCTGTCTCAAAAAATGCAATAAAGGCAACAATAACAAAACCATCCGTGAGATTGCAGACAAGTAACATTTCTTGGACTTATATTCACTTTGTTTTTTAAGTTTTTATTTATTTATATATTTACATATATTTGCAAGTGTGCATGTACCAAATCCCCTGGACAGGGAGTTGCAGATGGCTGTGAGTCACCTACTGTGGGTGCTGGGAACCAAACCAAACTCTCTAGGACCAACACCGCGCTCTCTCTCCAGTCTTAGATAAACTTCCCATCATACACCTGTACTTAGCACACACTCTAATTAGCACTCATTATTCATTCATGCCTGGACTTTTAATGATTCAATTCTGCCTCCTGTGGTCAGCGATAACCCATAACCAGAGCTCACTGCTAACACCCCCCATCCCCCCGCAAGGTGTTGGGCCATCTCTCCACTCCTGCTCAGTCTTAGAAAGGGCAATCACTACTCTTCTCAAGGCCTTCGTGGGCCCTCCAATGCCATTCACATTGCTCGCACGTTCTCCGACTTCCTGGACAAGGCCTGCTTTAGGATCCAAGATTCAGGGTCATTTGCTCCGTTTCTGAACTCCAGGCCTTGCTGGGCCAATGCCCTCTCATCTAAGAACACCCCTGCACCACCCTGACAAAAATGAGTGCTGTCCTATTCTGCAAAGCTAATTTTCTTGGCGAATCTTTTGCTACGGTCGCTGCAAGTAGCATCTCTGAGGCTCAAGGAAAGCATTCCATTCATAGACCCAATTAGCATGTACGTTGTGTCAGGCACAAGGCGTGGCTTCTCCTACACAGGATGTCTACGGTCAAGCTCACTGTACAGGTGGACGCTGAATAAGGGCGGGTCATAGGGAAAGGCGGTATTGCTCCCACTCGAAAAGAAGTTTCTGAAAACCCCGTGTCACAAGGGGCCTTTCCGTTTCATCAAACGGGAAAAAATAAAGCACCGGTGACATCTGGCGTCCAAAGTCAGCTGCACATCCCCACCAACGGCCAGAGATGCTCAAGGTTAAAAAAAAAAGAAGAAAAAGAAAAGAAAAATCCGTTTCCTCGACGCTCCTACCTGACCCCGGCCCCCAGCTCCCCCGGTTTCCCCGGTTTCCCTCTCCCTCCGGCGCCCGCTACCACCCGGGGCTCGGGTCCGCGTGCTCGCTCCCGCCGTTACCGGCCGGGCTGCGCGCGCTCGCGGGGCCCCGGCGTTTCCCGGGTG